GGTTAAAGTTTTCAAAAGTATACCAAAGGTCAAAGTTGGTGTACAAAGGAAGGCCATATCATAAGAAACACACATGTGAAATATGAAGGCTCAAGATTAAAAGTTTTAAAGAGGGTCGAACTAAAGGTCAAAATTTTCCATGGAAAGGTCTTGTCACAATAACTACACATGTGAAGTATAAAAGGTCCAGTATGAAAGCCCTAGCACTAACTGTTCAAAAGTTATGGCCAAGGTTAAAGTTTGGCAAATTCTTGCAAAAGTAGGTAAAACTCAAAAAAAGGCCTTGTCACAAGGAATAAATATGTAAAATATGAAAGCAACAGCTCCAACTAATAAAAAATAATATAATATATATTTGGACTGTGTGCGGATGAAAATGAACATTTGTGTGAAATAGTTGTGAATATTATGCCATTGAACCATGAATAACACGAAATGAGCAAATGCAGCCGCATAAATATAAATTTTGGTCACATGCGGCTGAAATTGATCTTTTTCATTAAACAGTTGGAATATCATGCCCATGAACCCTAATTGGCATGAATTAAGCAAATGCAGCCGCATAAAAGTGAAATATTGGCCTACTGCGGTTGAAAATAAACTTTTCCACAAAATATAGTTGAGAATATTATGCACATAAACATTATTTTCACAAAATACACAAATTTCACCGCATTTGATATATATTTGTACTTTGTGCGGATGGAAATGAACATTTGTGTGAAATAGTTGTGAATATTATGCCATTGTACCATGAATAACACGAAATAAGCAAATGCAGCCGCATAAATATAAAATTTTGGTCACATGCGGCTGAAATTGATCTTTTTCATAAAACAGTAGGAATATCATGCCCATGAACCCTAATTGGCATGAATTAAGCAAATGCAGCCGCATAAAAGTGCAATATTGGCCTACTGCGGTTGAAAATAAACTTTTCCACAAAATATAGTAACGAGTATTATGCACATAAACATTATTTTCACAAAATACACAAATTTCACCGCATTTGATATATATTGTACTTTGTGCGGATGGAAATGAACATTTTTGTGAAATAGTTATGAATATTATGCCATTGTACCATGAATAACACGAAATAAGCAAATGCAGCCGCATAAATATAAAATTTTGGTCACATGCGGCTGAAATTGATCTTTTTCATAAAACAGTTGGAATATCATGCCCATGAACCCTAATTGGCATGAATTAAGCAAATGCAGCCGCATAAAAGTAAAATTTTTGCCTATTGCGGTTGAAAATAAACTTTTTCACAAATATAGTTAAGAGTATTATGCACATAAACATTATTTTCACAAAATACACAAATTTCGCAGCATTTGATATATATTTGTACTTTGTGCGGATGGAAATGAACATTTTTGTGAAATAGTTGTGAATACTATGCCATTGTACCATGAATAACACGAAATAAGCAAATGCAGCCGCATAAATATATAAATTTTGGTCACATGCGGCTGAAATTGATCTTTTTCATAAAACAGTTGGAATATCATGCCCATGAACCCTAATTGGCATGAATTAAGCAAATGCAGCCGCATAAAAGTAAAATTTTTGCCTATTGCGGTTGAAAATAAACTTTTTCACAAATATAGTTAAGAGTATTATGCACATAAACATTATTTTCACAAAATACACAAATTTCACCGCATTTGATATATATTGTACTTTGTGCGGATGGAAATGAACATTTTTGTGAAATAGTTATGAATATTATGCCATTGTACCATGAATAACACGAAATAAGCAAATGCAGCCGCATAAATATATAAATTTTGGTCACATGCGGCTGCAAATTGATCTTTTTCATAAAACAGTTGGAATATCATTCCCATGAACCCTAATTCGCATGAATTAAGCAAATGCAGCCGCATAAAAGTGAAATATTGGCCTACTGCGGTTGAAAATAAACTTTTCCACAAAATATAGTTAAGAATATTATGCACATAAACATTATTTTCACAAAATACACAAATTTCACCGCATTTGATATATATTGTACTTTGTGCGGATGGAAATGAACATTTTTGTGAAATAGTTGTGAATATTATGCCATTGTACCATGAATAACACGAAATAAGCAAATGCAGCCGCATAAATATAAAATTTTGGTCACATGCGGCTGAAATTGATCTTTTTCATTAAACAGTTGGAATATCATGCCCATGAACCCTAATTGGCATGAATTAAGCAAATGCAGCCGCATAAAAGTGAAATATTGGCTACTGCGGTTGAAAATAAACTTTTCCACAAAATATAGTTAAGAATATTATGCACATAAACATTATTTTCACAAAATACACAAATTTCACCGCATTTGATATATATTGTACTTTGTGCGGATGGAAATGAACATTTTTGTGAAATAGTTATGAATATTATGCCATTGTACCATGAATAACACGAAATAAGCAAATGCAGCCGCATAAATATAAAATTTTGGTCACATGCGGCTGCAAATTGATCTTTTTCATAAAACAGTTGGAATATCATGCCCATGAACCCTAATTCGCATGAATTAAGCAAATGCAGCCGCATAAAAGTAAAATTTTTGCCTATTGCGGTTGAAAATAAACTTTTTCACAAAATATTTTAGTACATTCTGCATATAAACATTATTTTCATAAAATACGCAAATTCCGTCGCATTTACTTTATATTTGGACAAAGTGCGGATGAAAATGAACATTTTTTAAAAAAAATATTTGTGAATAGTATGCCATTGCCCATGAATAGCATGAAATGAGAAAAACAGTCCCATTAAAATAAAATATTGGCCTTATGCCGCTTAAAATAAACTTTTTCATAAAATAATTGAGACTGTTATACTTATGTTCCATGAATAGCAGGAAACGAGCATATTAAGCCGCATAAAAATAAAACATTGACCAAATGCGGCTAAAATGAACTTTTTGCACTAAATAGTTCAGAAAATCATGCCCATGAACTTAATTTGCACGAAAAGAGCAATGCAGCCGCATAAAGATAAAAAAAGCAAATTAACAATGGTGGTTGAGAGTGAACATTTTAATTACCTGTAATGCCCATTGAACGGTTGAAATAAGTCAGTGAAGTCCAAAAAATTGGAAGAGTATGTGCTGTTACATTTTTTTTCTTTTTTCCCCCAAATGATTTATTTTAAAGAAATATCTGCTTTATACTTATTTCCATGCATAACAAGGGAAATCTTTTAACTCATCAGAGAACAAAGGTTTTATTTCAAATATTGAGCCATATTTCTGGGGTTTTGCAAAGGAATGGGAGTCTGAAGTCATTTAGCATGATTGACTATGAAAACGTAATGATACAGAACAAATAGAAAAGATCCCTTTCTCTCTCAATACCAAGACTTGTTTCACCCAAAATAATAAATGTTCAGCAACAGGGTATTTCAAAACTAGTGTAGAATTAATGGTTTTCTTCATCCATTTCCATATTTTTTTATGAAGTAAAAGATCTATGTTCAAGATCAACATCTCTTTGCCATAAAAATTAAAGCAAGTAAATAAGGTTATGTTTAAAACAATATTTACTGACTTCAATTTAACAAGAATGACCAATATTTGTAGTAGTAGTAAATTTTATTTATAGTCAAATTATATACATTTTACAAAAAAACAATAGCTTAAAGCTCTTTAACAAACTGGTAACATAACACTTATAGCACAATTAAAATTTACATATACATATATAGCAAACAAACACAAATAAAAAGAAGAAACATACATATTTGGTATGAGACATAAAAAGGAACTGCACATACAATTAATTAGTTCCCCACATCAAGTTGAAATGTATAGTTTCATAATTAAAAGAAGTAACACGTAAAATGACAATCAATTAAACACAGGAACTCAAAGGACAATGAATCAGCATTAAACATAGTAACACAAAGGACAATAAATCAGCTAAATTTTACAATGAAAACGCATTACATAAAATTAATCAACAACAACATATACTTTGAAAGTTGTCCACTGTTGTGTACTAATAAATGCATTTTAACTGTAAAACACCACCAATGTAGTAAATACTATAATGAGATATTCTACATGTATGACAATGATAAAACATGGAGTATTCTCAGCTCTTTATTGTTACAGCTAGTACGTTGAATGTGGTATAGGGATGAAATTAAAATCATCTCCAAGTATACACCTTTTTTCATCACAATTCACAATCAATGGTAAATTTGGTTAATTAAAGTAGCTCTTTAGAATTATAGGTACACATGTGCATTTAGGCCTCTTGCTAAGTAATTAAAATTTATGTAAAATACTTTTGTTATTGTTTAACATTAAGATTAATTATCCTTTATGTAATTACACTGTAGCTATCTACTCTAGTTGGGAAAAAAAACAAAACAAAACAAAAACAATTTCCATAACAAGTTCACCATTTTTTTGCAGTATACACCATGTTTGTACTTTTAAAACATCAATAATATTTATTTCTTGAACATTATTTCTAGGAGGAGTGTTTCAATCTCAAATGCTAAAATCAATCATTAAATGATTTACAAGGCAAACTGCCATCTCAAAAAGTCTCCATAATTCATAATCATATCCCTATTAATACTAATTAAAATTTGAGTACCCTGTGTGAAAAAAAAATCTTTCAGTTCTTATTAGCATAAATTAAAAATAAATTTTCTACTCAGCAACGTTTTACAAGGAATTTTTTTACATCCCTAAAATTAAGTATCTATGTTAGCAAATTGCCATCACTATTGCTATCTTGGCAATGTTTTAATTAAGGGAAGATGAGGCAGTAAAATTTAACAACAAATAGTACAAAAACAGAAGACTAATAAAATTTGCACTTTATCACTTTTTTGCATTCAATGATCAGAAAAAATTAGTTGGAGGTTGATATGTATGCACCCCCCCTCCCCCCCAAATTCCCACAACTTTCAATTTAAGCAGTTAAAAAGCATTAAAACTCTGAATAAAATACAATATTTCAAAATAAAGTTCTAAACAAGTCTTATCTGTTCCATTAACTGGTTACTCTGTCCAAAAAATCTACAACTAACTGGTTACAAAAAAATTTACAATTGCCATCCTTACTAATAATTTATTCACATTCCCAGACACAATAATTATTAAATTTTCAGACATTCTTAAACTCCTCAATAAGATGTGTGGGGATGTTTCTCTCTGGTTCCCACGTGGGATCTTCATACCCTTCCCACTTAATAAGAAATTCTGATTTTCCATTTTTCTTCCTTTCACTTAATATTTCATCTACATAGTAGAATCCTGGTTCATTGTCTGTAATTATCAATTTAAAGTAGCAATTAAAAACATGTATTACCTTTCTTTACAAAATACATCAAAAAATATATCATTACATTTAAGAAAAGAATAACAAGTTTAAAAACTTGAATGGGAAATGAAGTGGGTCGGTCATGTGATCAAATCCTGTGAAGGCCATAGGCCTTCTCAGAAGATTTGATCACGTACCGACCCACTTCAGTTCCCATTGAAGTTTTTAAACTTATTTTTTATTACTTATATATACATTTGAGATGGACAATCAAATATAATTGAGTATAAATTTTGCACTAACTGTACATCATAGATTTTGACAAAATTACGCAAGGTGCAAATCGGCTTGAAAAGCGGTTATGTTTCAAATTCATCAGACAGAGGATTCTGTTTTGAAAGTAATATTTTGTTATAGGCAACTTGTGATCAACCATAGTGAGCAGTTTGTTGTCTGGAAATTTTTGAATTCGTGAGAATCAATATTGGATGCTGAAGTCACAGAAACACCTCCGAAGTTTGTTAATCAAAAGTTGGAGGAATTAATTTCAGTTGAAAAGGTATGGATGGAGACACTTGTCAGAGCCAGTTAACTTGAAATCAAATATAAAATTTGATCAAAAACAGTAAATCTTTGATTCCTGTAAGGCGTATTTATTATGATGTAAACACAGAGACACTGGCAACAGCATACACTGTTAAGACAATGCTCTTGATGATTGAATTGTGCTTGTAAACCAAAGTGTTTGTCAGCTCTTTATGCCGTGTTTGCATTGCATTGATATTTTCCAACATTAACAGAATTATCATGGGTGATGTTTAATGAAAAAAAATATATAGAATAGCATTTAAAGTTTATGATGTGGATTTAACTAAAAGAAAAATAAGGGTAAATGTTGAGACTGTGAAGTTGACATGAAACTATTAGTTTTCTATTCTCTATGTAAATTAAATCAAAGAACTGAATTAATTACTTGTTTACATTGTAAAGGATTATTATTTTATTTGTGTATTTTATACATTCTATTACATAAAAAGCATGCTAATACTGTTGAGCAGAACATGTCTTTTTATGTAGATATTATTGTTCCATGTGAGTATAGGTCACGTAATGACCTATGACCTGAGAAAAACTTCATACAGGTATGAAGATATTTGTTCTCTGCAGGTTTATATAATAGAGAGATACCACAAATGTATATATATACATATATAAGTACAGTATGTTGAAAGATTTATATTAGTATTTTTCTAGATTCAATTATGAAATTTATTATTTAATTTCTTGTCACCAAAGTTTTGTTTTAAAAGATCGATGTTAATGTGAATTTATATACATACCATCAAATGCCATTTTCTTCTGTTTTGCCTTTGATTCCTTACCTATAAAGAAATGTAGCAATATAGATACATTAAATTAATATTCTACATGAAAACTAAAGAGATATGAATTAAATTTGTTTGCACAAAAGATTTTTTTTCTGAAGTTGGATAACTCTGTCAAAAATCATTGGACCATGACCAAATTCCAACTTGACCTGTATTCTTTAGGAAATTACCTGCATATGCAATTTAAACCTTATACATACATCCCTTCTAAATTTTGAAAGGGGAAACTGACAAATTCTTATTTTTTTCTAAGTTCAAAAGGGATAACTCTGTCAAAATCATTGGACCATAGCCAAATTTGAACTTGACCTGCATATTCCTATTACATAGCCATAGGTAAAATTTGAGTTGAATGTGTGCAACTGTTGCCTAGATAATGAACGGAAAGTCATTGATGACACAATGACGGAACAGGTTAACACTATAAGCCCCTGGCCATTTTATGGTGAGGGCATTATAAAAATGCAAGACTTTTCCACAAATCCATATTTTAGAACTGTTTGTAGTTTGTGGGGACAAAGGATGTCAAATTCCATTTTATTATTCATTTCAAGCAGAAAAAGTTTGCAAACAACAGTTTACACATTATTTGCACAATATCATATCAATATCTAGTAAAAAAAAAAAAAACTCTCTTTATCCATAAACACAATCCTCTAGGCCTGATTTTAAATATCGGTGTAATAATCTCTCAGAAAACGCAATTATATTAGTTCAATATCAAAATCCTTTAATCATCCTTGTTTCAATTAAGCTACAATCATGCAGGTTTGAAACCGAGTAAAGGCATTAGATTTCTACAATTTTATCTATTTTTATTACATATTGTAGAGGTAAACAGATTAATTAATTTCTTCAATTCTTATTGAAGTTACTTGTGTTATGGAAAAGGCCGGGTAAAGAAGATTACTTCATTTTTATCTAAGTTTATCATAATATTGTAAAGGTAAAAATTTAACTCTAACTTTTAATGTTTCTAACCTTTTGATATATTTGATAATATATTTTCAAGATTATTTAATAAATTTATTAATAATTTCCTTTTTACTTTGTTACAATTAAGCTCAAGATCTAGTGAATAAAGGTGCCCACAGATTTCTCAAATTTGAGATACACATTCCTTTACGAATGATCCTTTACGAATATAGCTTGGTAAAATAAGGTGTATCCAGACATAATTTTGGGGTAAATTCATCAGAAGAACATATTATAAACTGCCCATTTTCAATGAAAAATGAAGAAAGTCAGTTATAAACATGGGAGTTTTCTCCATTTAAGGCAAAGGAAATGTATCAATATTGCCTACCGTCTCTTAGAAAACGGTTTTTCATATCTTCTTGATCTCTACTTTAAAATGATATTAAACGGAATAAGGGTATTGGGGCTACATTTGACATGATATCAAATTGAATTCCATGAAAGTGCTTTATTTTCTACATAATTCTATTGAAGCCGTAAAGTACGGAAAAAATTAAGTTTAAATCATTTATGACGTCATAATGAATCTAGCACCAAGAAGAAAGTCTAAACTCATTTACTAGATCTTGACCTTAAAAAGAATGTTTACTAATGTAATTTGACGCCTCATTAGGAATTCATCCCAAACAAGCACTGTGGCCCATGGGCCTTTTGTGACATTTTTTTTGAAAGGGATATTTTATATGTATTCAAATAGAAGAGAATGATTGACCCTGAAGAAAAGAAAAGACAAAAAAAAAGGGTTCATATAAAACTTATTCTCAGTAGAAGTGCCAATCTTCAAAAAAAATTGCAATATACTGTAGTTTCAGATTTATTAAATGCTTGGAAGGTATCATAATAGGGTATCATACTTGCTAAAATACAAAAAAAACTCATAAAATATGAGCAGAAATTATGATTTAGAGTTAGGGTTTGACATTTCTCAAGTTTTCAACGCTCGAGTTCAGTCAGATTAGTTCCTGTTCACTTTAACAAATGAAGTTCACAATTTTTTTTTTTTTATCTTTCTTTTTATCTCTTTGCCCCAAATTTGTTATTAAAAAACCAAAGAATACTTGATAGTTTGTGGTTTAAAAAAATCTTAGTTGACACCTGTTTAAAAATCTGCATTTATTTAATTGAACTAAAGACAGAGACAACAAGAGGATAATAAATCATGATTGCTTGTTGTTAAGGTGAAATCAAAACCAAATAACACCCATAAAAGAATTTGAAAATGGTCACTAACTTGCATGAAAATAATATTGCTTCAATAGTACCTACATGTATAAATAATTCTATTGCAAGAGTAAGATACTGTGTTTCTTCCAACTCAAAAAATTGTGATGACCATGAATGTATATTAATATTCTCACTTCATTCAATATGACATATATATTTCTATGTAGAAATTTGATCCCCCACTGTGACCCATCCTACCCCCGGGGGTCATGATTTGACCAAATATGAATTTACACTATGTAGTGATGCAACTAATACTGGCTTTACTGCTCTTGAGATTTTTCTAAGGATTTTTCCTAATAAATTTCTGTGAAACTTATATCCCCAATTGTGGCCCCACCCTACCCCTGAGGGTCATGATTTAAACGAATTTGAATTTTTACTATGTAAAGAAGGTTTTAAATAAGCCTCGACCTTTTTGCTCCTGTTTTTCATATAAAAAGGTTTTTAAATGATACCACAAAATTTGCACTATTTCTGAATTATCTCCCCTTGAAAGAAGGCTTGGCCCTTCATTTGAACATGCATACTTCAACCTCCTTCACACAAGGATGCTTTGTAGCATGTTTGGTTGAAATTGGCCCAATGTTTAAAGAGAAGAAGTTGAAAATGTGAAAAGTTTACAGACAGACAGACTACAGACAAAATGTAATCAGAAAAGCTCACTTGAGCTTCCAGCAATAGATTACCAATAAACAAAAAAATTCTTCAAGAATAAAAACCTCTCGGGAAAAACAACTGCAATATTTAATAGAGCTAATTCTTTAACTAAATATATATATATAAATTATATATATATATATATATATATAATCTTATATTTTATTACCTTTGCTTTTCCCTTTTTGTTTCGTCATTTTCCTCATTTCTTTCTTAATTTTCTTCTCTGAATACAAAAAAAAAATTTGATGTTAACTTCATGCTAATAATTCTTTTTCAGTCCTCTGAAATAACTATTAGTGAATCTTTTGGAAAAAAATAGTTGTGGTAGAAATAGAAGATTATTCCAAATGAATTAATTTTTTTATTATTTTTTTTATTTTAAATAAAGTTTTCAAAAATCAAAGTTTTACCATTCGGCTCCACAAATACGGCACTGGAAACAAGGTTCCTTTCCTCCACAGACACATCAGTACCTTAAAAATAGACAAAGTTTCTAACAATAAAGCCCAAGGGGTTAAATGGTCACCTAAGTATAATACAACACCATGAAAAATCCATTGTGATACAAGTAAAGACTAATAATAACTAACAGGTAAAGATATGTTGCCAAAAGAAGGAGGATGATAGGAATCAACAAAATAATTAGTCTAGTACATACTCCATAACAAAATTTAAGGTAGCTCTATCTAATTTTCTTAACATACCCCCAGTTGTCACTATCATGATGCAAACTAAACAAAAGAAAAGTGCTTCGATCAGCACTTTTAGTGCACCCATCTTGTTCCCTCTAACATTGGCTTCTCTTAATCTTTGAAGAAAATTTAATTTACGAAGATATTAGATTTTAAAACCTGGTCTATAGAGATAACACCAGACCCCCCACCCCCACACAAGAGCATGAAATTCATAATTTTGGAGGACACACCCTTGCTCATCATTATCATGCACCATTTTTACAAAATACCCAGAAACAATGAATATTTTAAAAGAATGCATTTTCACCTAACAATCAGTAGAGCCCCACCTTAAAATTATTTAACTCCTGCCCTAGGGTCCTGAAAAATCTCTATTTTAGAAGAGACACTGTGCTTTTCATTACGATACATTTAGTTTTCTTATACCAAAACAGAAAAAAGGATTGTCAGAGAAATTGTGCATTTTCAGGGTGTCTTCCCACTTAGTCAACATTTTGAAAAAATACAGGTAAAACACAGGTAAATGTGTGTTGGCTAAGTGGGAATGGGGTGCATATTGAGAACAAAAGAAATAAAGGACTATATTCGGTAATGACCAATATTTGCCCCCAAAATCAAACTTTGATGGAGAAATATATAATTATGTTCTAAAACAGGGGGATATCTGCAGACTTCAAAGCACTGAATATTTTCATAATCCATGACGCCAAATGTTAGATATGACGTCAGAAAAATGACGTAAATTCAAAATTTCCATGATTTATACAGAAAAAGGTGTATATTATGTCAATATTTTGAGTAAAAGTCACCGAGCGCAAATCTGCTCCAACTCAATATTTTGATATAATGTGTAGAATGATAATATCAATGAAATATGTAAATATTGTTCTGGAGCAGGCCTGCGCTGTATAATTTTATAGTAAAAATTGAACAAATTTTGTCCATTTTTTCCTGTTCCTGAAAAAGAACACAAAATCCTAATAGTTCGTGATGTCATAGAAGAAAAAATTGCTAATAACCTACTTTGAAACTATAACATTTTTTGCTAATTTAGAATTCTCATACAATATATACAATTCAGCACATTTCAAGATATTATCAAAAAATGACTTTTGTGGGGGCAAAAATATGCATATACCGCATATAGTTCTTACAGGTAGACTATAGTCTGTTTTAAGCTACATGTACATGTGTAAGCCAAATAAAATAATTTATTTAATTTTGTAGCATGTACATAAGAACACCATGATGAATGTAATATTTTTGTGATGAATTGAGTTTCAGTGCAAGTACAAAAATATCTTTTCTTAAATATATAATAATAATTGATTACAGTGTGATTTAATTAATTATTTTCAATAATTAACGGTTTTAATCTTCTTTATTGCTGTGTTGTATCACAATTTGTTTGTTTGTTTTAATTTTTAATTTTCTTTGTCACATTTGTAACATCTTTTGCGAGAAATGTTTTTAAATATATTTATTATAAAATAAATATTCAAAAATCGATCACTGTATAATCAATAGAGCTCTCCCCAACCACCACCAGAACCCCTTTGGGGCCATAACTGTCACAATTTTGGTAAAGGTAGAGTAATTGCTTGATCTTCATAACTATGCACCAAGTTTATCTGCTAAATATAAGATGATAAGAAAAAAATATATGCATTAATTTTCACAATAAGAGTACAGCTCAACTCTTTCTCTAGAACCCTGACCTTGGGGCCATGAATTTCACAAAATTGAAAGAGGAAACAATGTGCATTACAATCATGGTAACAGTTTAACTGCTCAATGCCTGGGAGCAAGGAAGATTTTTTTAAAGATTAAAGATTTTATGGTTTTAGTGCCACCCCTCAGATCCCAGTGGGACAGGCACAACGAAAATCAAAAAAATTTGTTTCCCTTTACTCAAAGATGCTTAATGTAAAAGGTGGTTGAAATTGGTTCTGCGGTTCCAGGGATAAATCTGAAAATGTTCCAAAGTTAATGGTGGACTGACGACTGATGATAGATTAAAAAAGGATGACAAACAAAAACAGTAACAATAAGTCACCTGAGGTGACCTTAAAAATTTCAATTTCCGCAATTGAAGTGCTTAAAATTACAAATTAAACAATTACAAGTTGCAGAATACCTAGTTCTGATGTCACTCCAAGTATGCCAATAAGGTCATTTCCCACATCCTCCATCTCTGTAGTGGCATGCTGTGCTGAAAAACATTTTTTCAGATGTTAATTCACATGTACCTTATTGAGTAATATTAGTTTCACATGACAGTCACCATGGACAAACCACCCTACAATGGTTCAACAAATAAATCATTTTAAGTAATTTACCTATCAAACTGGTTGTTGAAGCAGATGCTGCACAAACAATATAATATCCGGTATTTTTTTTTTAAAAATGCAAATTAAAGTTGAACACAACTCATAAATAGGCAAACGCCATATTTATTTTCTTATCTCCTATCTATCAACATTGTGGTATATAAACCCTTGCGTTTGTTAATCAGGATTTTTTGTATGTTGTCACTGTGGCATATAGAATATGAAACTATTTTGCACCACCTTGATTGCTATGCAGCAAACGATGAAGACAAAATCATTCATTTCTACATCACAACATAAACAGGCTAGTAAATCTAAGTTCAGGCAAGTTAAACTGTAATTTCAACACATTTGTTCAGACTGACAAGGGAATATTTCTCAGAAAAACATGTACTGTTATCTAACCTACATTAGTGTGTAAATAAAACAATGGATTGAAGTGAACACTTATTTCCACTAGGAAAGTGATTGACATTGTATATGCATTCAGAATCCCTCCAAAGCATTTCTAGATTGTACTCTTTATTAAAAAAATCTTCTTTATTCTGTTTTCTTTCCTGATGAATATGCTCTACCTGTAAAACCTTTGTTACCTACTAAGTACTTATTTTTATTTCCTCATAAAATATTAGTAATAAGATGTGTCCTGATCAAAATATGTACTGTATGTTTTGTGGCAACTGTCTTCCTTAAGCATTGCCTCACAATTAATCATTTCTGAAAATCAAAATTTAAGAAAAAATCCTACTGAAAATGATTTTTAGAAATATTGTAAAGTAAACAGGGTTATTTCTTCTAGGCAGCTTGAGTTTACACGTTATCAACATTCTTTTCTAGTACGTAGCTCAAGCTACTTAACAGACATTGATGTAACTGGTCACATTTTTTTTGGTAACATTTACAGTACATGTAGTAAACTACTAATCTAGATTTTGTATCAGTTTAAAGATTACATAAAAAACATCTGTGAGCGAGGAAAATACATTATAATGAAAGCTTTATATCACTACCAATCAGATATATATGCATACATGATGATGTAGGCAATGGTTCCAATGATGATGGCCTAGTAGAGGAGGTAGATGGTTCATTAGAGGATGCAGATGATGAGTGTTCAATGAATGGTTCCTGGGATAGAGAATCTGTAGGTTCTTCTGCTGACTGTGGGTAACTTGATAATAGGGAAAAAAATCAAAATAATTGCATGAATTAGGAATTTTAATGTAATATATTAAAAAAACTAAATGTGTCCTATTGAAGCTAATTGTGGCCATTGGGCATAATAATGAAACATTCAATACAAACATATTTAAAAAATGTACAAACTGAATATATACCCCAAAAAATGAAATTTCATTGATTTCAAGCAGTGTAAATGTGTCCAAGAATACCAGTCGTAGTTTAAGGATATTTCATCCCCTGGCCATAAGCAACCTTTGCATCAAGTTTGAGTCTCTGCAATCTCTACATATTCTGAAATGATGCACTTGGCCTAGCTTCTTGACACTCCCTAATATAATCATTTTTTTGGTGAAAAATTAGGGTCGAGCTATAAGGAAAAATTCAGTAAACCCTCTGAACACCCCAATTAAGTCAAAACCAACCCTTCCTTTGCAAAGTTTGGGCTTCCAAAACCCTACCAAATGTCCCTGGAGGAAAATATAATATTTCCCCTATTAAGGAGGAGCAGTGAAGCAGTCTTTTTTCTGTAGAAATGCTTAAATGCCCATTCAAAGTAGTGATGTTCTCCATGAAAAAAACATAAAGTAGACAAACTTGTTCATCTAAGCTTCTGAATTTCTTGTGAGTTAGAGAGGAAAGGAAACATTTTCTTTGAATAAGTGAATTTCGATCTTTACATGTGAATCAGCTACTATATGTAATTAAAGCTTAATGAAATGTTCAAAGCATTTCTACAGTAGAACATAGGTATATGCTAAGAGTGCAAATTCATCTGAGTGTTACTTCTTTCTTTTTATCAAAATAAAGAGACTACCATATACAGTGTAACCCTGTGCCTTTAAATGCTTTTTAAAGCATTAAACACTTTTGATCAAATATGACTATTATACACATACTTTACTGAAATGCTGGGACAAGATAACAACAGCTGCAGCTTTTCTTCTCCATAGTGTGATGGAGGGTGCAAAGGTAAGACAGCCTGGGGAAGTCCCTCCACCACAATATCCCCTTTACGCACCATCTTGTAGGGAAAGCACCCTGCTTTGCCTGAAGCCTTTCCTGTTAAAACAACTTTACATCATTTTCCATAGTATCAGTCATGAACTATTAGTGTTCATCTTCAAAGTAACCCACAAAAGATTCTACAATTCTGACCTTAGCTGCGGGTCTACACATTTTTGGAGGAATTTAAATAAAGCTTTTGAAAATTAATTACAATATATATATATTTATATATATATATCCTGGGAAAGCATTTTTTTTCAATAGGAATCTTATTTAAAAAATTTATCAAGCTATCAAAGTAAAGAAAATAAATAGGAAACAGAAGCAGGCAGAGCATATTACATCTCTTTGGAGAATGTTTTGAAATTCATTACATTCACAAACTTGATAGGTATAAAATTTTTTTTGAATGATTATTTTAAAATTTCCACATATAAACATATTTGGAGAGTTTAACTTATGTTAAGACTCAAAACATTGCAACACATTCTGAACTAAAGATAGTTTTAAAACTTCTGATTTTTTTCTTTAAACCACTGAAGTTTGAAAAATTTAATTCTCGGGACTTAATATTGTACTTTGATCATTTAATTAGGTAGTTAATAACACACATTTTGATAGGGCCAGTGCTTGATGTATCCATCAACATTAATTCTTGTCATGTAACAAGACCGATCTATAATGAGATTTAAACTGAAGTTTGTGACATATTTCTGGCTAAGCCAAGTCGATACACTAAAATGTTTTCCAGAATTGGGATATAAAAAATTAATCCTTCATTTATTTTATGACTCATTTCCAATTTAATTAGATTTCAGCTATAAAGCAGGAATAAACTTAATTTTTATTATTATACATGTACATGTATATGCAATATATATTTTCGGATTTTGACAAAAGGAACATCGTCTCCCTAAGAACCCAAATGGTAGCTAAGGGACAAAACTGGTCTGAAGAAACTGAAACCACTTTTGACCTATACTGTTCAATAAAAAATCTCAGATATATTATATATTTGTATGATTTTAACAATTAAAAAAAAATTCAACACACTTCTATACACTAGACTTGAAATGATCATAAAATCTATACTAACTGTATAATTCGTTCATGTGTACTTGAACTGTCTTTCGCAGCTCATTGACTTTTGATTTCTCTGGAGTAGAATAATCTGTAATAAATAAAGATTATTAAAAATACATATTTCCTTTTTGTGATTCTCATTTCATTATAAAAAAAAGGGTCATCATATATTTTTGAAAAAAAAAAGATTTTCAGACAAGACAAAAAAAATTTTTCTTTGATCTTCAATCTGGGACAGATCGAAATATCAAATGGATAACAAAATGCAGAAGTACAAAATACAGGAAAACATAAAATTTACAATCCATGAAATACACTTAACTTAATATGTACTTTATTTTCTCCATACCTAAGAATTTATGTTTAAAAATATATTTTTTACTAAAGGATGAATTCCCGGAACTATGATCTGGGGCCCCTTTTCTACGATGAATTATAATAAACCTCATATCAATCTGGTAATTTTGAAATAAGAGTAAAGGAAAATAACACCTTGAGAAAATAAATATCTATAGTTTGTATTCTTTATAAGTTGTAGGAATGCCACATTATAGAGGAATTTTTAGACCCTAGCTATTACAGCTATAACTGGTTTGTGGCTTTTTTCTTTTATTAATATAGATGAAAGTAATGGGCAGATAAGTATTAAAGAAGGATATACAGGTCTGAGAAATTATTTTAAAGGGCTATTGTTATTATTTCACAGTTCACAAAGAGTTGCTTATTGACAAAAATTGTCCAATCCAATGAATGAATGATGCTTACAACAAATTTGCATTTTATCACAGACACATATGGTTCAGGTCAATTTACATCCCATCTCTTCTACATTTCAAACTTTAAGTGGTCAACAAAGGCCATTTATAAATGATGATGTGAGGAACCTGTCTATTTTTTTGGGACAAGTCAAGAAATGCACATAAAATTTGTATTCACTGATACAAGGGAATATATATAGGCAATTGTCCATCAATCCCTTGCCAAATGGAGTGGAGAAAAATAGAATTCTAGAAAGTATGTCAATAAAACAATTGTTTTTAATTGTGAGCATAGAAATAATTAATAGCAAAGTATGGTTCATATTTCATCTGACTAAAATGCATGAAAAAATAATATTGTCTATCCAAAAGCAAAAAAAAAAAAGTTGTTTTTTTTCTTAAATACTAAAATTTCCTAGCATTTGTATTTTTGTATTATTCACCTGAAATGCTACTCATTAATCTGATTGGTTGGTTTGAATGTCACATTGGTACCTCAATTAGCACGTGAATTTATTTTGATTGGAAAGGCCAACAAGATTTTCAAATGTTTTAAAACACACTATTTGAGTACATTTTTCTCCTTTCACATATAGGTATGTATAGACAATAAAATACAAAGATATATGCCAAAGGGGCAAAATGTACCCTCTTTTGCTGGTATATTTTTAAGGCTTCATTTCAAAGAGTGAGGCAACTTCATGGGCCAAAATTCAATGGAAATCGGATGTAAACATAGTAGGCCTACCCCCAAAAAATATTTAATCTTTCACATGGTGTTTGTTTTTGGTAAAAGTGGTATTCCATGATATTATACTTTCACGTAAATTATTAGAATCTGATTCAAAGGGTGTTATTCCAAAAAATATTGACTGCGCAGAATTTATGCACACAAGGTTCACTGTAATATGTATTTGTATAAAACATTCAGTATAATATAATAAATACTGTATGTAGCTGAGTGTAACATTGAAAATTTTCACCCCTCGAAAAAACCATTGTCAACCTCGGCTGTGCCTCGGTTGACAATGGTTTTCTTGGAGTGAAAATTTTCAATGTTACACTCAACTACATGCAGTATTTTTATAATGATACACATATCAACAATTAAGTGCATGTATGAATAAGAGTAAAATTAAGATTTTATTTTTTTGTCATAATCCTTATCGATTATTACAAAAGTTGACATATAAACCAATATCAATTTATAGACCTCCCTTACCAAACTGTTATGTTTGCTGCAGACCTGCAGCAAGTCTGCTGCAAGTTTGCAGCAAACAAAATTGTTCGCAGGAAGAAAATTTTCTTGTTCGCAGATGATTGCCGCTAGCTGCGATCTTGCGGCAAACATTGCAGCAATTGCTGCAAGCTTGCAGCAAATTCGCAGGAACTCAACATGTTTGCAGGAACATTGCAAGAAACATAAACGCGAATCTGTTGTTCGCAGCAAGTTTGCAGGAAACAGTCAACAAATTGAATGTTTGCAGGAAGTTCGCAAGAACAGTAAACAAGACAAATCAGCCAATGAAATGCAGACTGTACTGAGGTCAATACAGAATTCGCCATTTTGAAATGTTTGAATTGAAGTTGTAGATGTTTCAGTATTTTGTTAGGAATATATACCATTTTGAATGATTACAAAAGCATAATTCTGGATGTAGGACTACATTAATTGGCATACAAACATCTAATTGGTAAGATCTGATTTTGTTTTATCTTAATATGAAACAATTATCTCTTGAAAAACTGCTGTACTTGCTAAATCTAAATCTATTTATGACTTTCAATCTTTATTTTAATATCACATTTGTATGTTTCTTTAATGTATTAAAGTTTCAAAACCAATTTTTATAAATATTTATACGTTTTCAAATAAACTGGTATTAACTGTAAAATTTTAATTTGTATGTACATAGAGTTATGTGCAAGGGTTCTTAATTTTTTCTGTACATGTCTATTACATCTGTACATGTATATTACATTTGAATTAAGAATAGTATGGGAACCTTGTCTAGGAACAAAAAGAAAGACTGTCAACAATTCAGAAACTTGCATCATTTCAGACACATATGGTGGATTTTCTCTATAATTAACAGAATAAGGTCAGGACAAAGGCTTTCTGTAAACTTGTTGCTTGTATGTAGGAATGTGCTGAAAACAATAAATATATTGCTTGCTGCAAGTTAGCAGCAATGTTTGCCGCAAGCTTGCAGCAATGTTTGCTGCAAGCTTGCAGCAAGGTTTCCATATTTGGAAAACCCAATGTTTGCTGCAGACTTGCAGCAAACCTCATTTGCATGGTAAAATGTTTGCAGCAAGCTTGCTGCATACCTGCCGCAAACTTGCTGCAAACACAGAAGCTTTGTATAGGCTGTCATGGTTTCTTTAGCTTCATTGCCGCAAGCTTGCAGCAATGTCTGCAGCAGGTTTGCAGCAATGTTTGCTGCAGACTTGCAGCAAATGTTTGCAGGAAGGCAGTATTTTTGGTAAGGGCTACTAACCTTGATTACAAAATCGGCTGAAATTTGGTTCAATATCCTCACGATCAAGGAATTCTCGACCCCTCCCTGTTCCAACGCTGTGGACAGTATTATTTTCAGCCACCAAAGCGAAATTGGGCAAGCCCATATTTTCCAATCGCCTACTCTACAAATATAGATCATTTTACATTATCAAAATGAGTTCAATTAAAAGAAGACTCAAATAGAATTCAAGAAATCAGCATTTTTTGGTCCCAAGATGACTGCAAAAACCTGATACTTATAATTTTCATGATATATAATATGAAAACAGATTCTTTTCAACAAAAAATGGAGATTAAATGACATTATAAACATGACAGTTATAATAAAACAGGCCTTTCAAAATCTGCTAGTACCTGATATTTTTACCTAGCTGAAATTATGATTATACCAGCCAAAATATTTGATAGAGAAAAATTGAATACTTCATTTAATCAAAATCTTTTCTATAAGTTTCCTCCTATTTTTATAAAAATACTGTCTGTTTCTAGTCAGGAAATAAGTTTGTTTTGAGTGACTTAATTTATATACATAAACAATGCATACCTTAGTACATGCATGCATTTATGAATATAATATTAACAAATTAATTAATTTGTTTACATTATTGTGATAATTAAAACAAGCTTGGATTAAACTATCATAAAGGGAAATCATATTAATCTGTGGTGGTCGGTTCATATGTGGTAGTGTACATTAGATACAGTACATGGTATCCTACTAGCTTGGACTAGTGGGTTAACCCACTGGACTGGCATGCCAGAGTCCCTGGATTCAATCCGAAGCCAATTCAGATAAATGTCTCTGTTGCACATTGACAACCAAAATTTAACTGGATTTTGGGGTCATAATGATTTCATATTTACAAAACATTCGTTGTAGTGTACTGATACATTGTAAGATGTCCCTTGTGGATATGTTAATTCATAGGCAAGATTAAATTCATGAAATCCATGAATATTAGTCCTTCATAATCAATTATTAATCCACAGCAGTAGAGGCAAAAATAATTAGGTTAACATGAATAATTGTAAAAAATCAAAAATCTCTACTAAATATATAAATATCAAAATCTAAGGTATTTACAGTCCATTCCAGTTGCTTCAGAAGGGTTCTAATGGTCTTCTTCTGAGTAGTGGGATCATCATTTGTTGATACACTTCCCCCCTCTTCTGACATCTCCCTTGCCATCTTTGCGTACCTCTCTTTCTCCTTCTCTCCAGCTGCCTCCCACTCCATTTTCCATATTGAAGGATTAAAGCCAGGATGATCTACAAATTTGAGTATTTTTCAAGTGAAATAGAACATACATGTAATCAAGATAATAATGTAAAATAATTTTCTTACTAAATTAATAAAACTTAATAAATATATGTATGAATGTATGTGGCATCCGGTTATAAAAAAGGAAATGAAGATACAAATAATATTATTTGACAAACAAGAGGCCCATGGGCCTTATAGGTCACCTGAGTATCATGTAGCAATTGAATTTGGGCCTTGTGTTAAACCAGAGGACATGAAATTCACGATTTTGAAGGAGGCAGTACCAGTGCTCATCATAACTCTACACTTAGCATGCTTACTTTGATTACTTAATACCAAGAGGCAGAGCAGAAGAACAAAGAAAAAATGCATTTCCATCATATAATCAGTAGTGCCCCACCTCACAGGAATCCCTGACCCTGGGGACACACATATCACAATTTTGGGAAAGGTACCCTTGCTCATCATAAATCTTTGATTAATAACAAAGAGCAGATTTTAAAAGAATTAATTAAATTTCAGAATATAATCATTAGGGGCCCCCAGCCAACAGGTACCCCCCAGGGGCCATCAAATTAACAACTTTGGAAGAGGCACCCTTCCTCATAATAACTATGTACTTAGATCATCGGCATAAAACCCAGGACCAGAAGAGAAGATTTTCAAAGAATTAATGCATTTCCACTATATAATCAATAGAGCCCCGCCCTAACACCAGAACCCCTGACCCAGGGGCCATGAAATTCACAATTTTGGAAGAGGCACCCTTCCTCATCATAACTATGTACACAGTTCATTGGCTTAATACCCACGAGCAGAGGGGAAGATTTTTTAAGAAATAATGCATTTTCACTAAATTCAATAGAGCCCCATTCTAGCACCGGAACTCCTGATCCTGGGGCCATGAATTTCACAATTTTGGTAGAGGGCTCATTGCTTCTTACATGTGCAATCATGCGAACAGTTTGACTGTTTGATGTCCAGGAGCAAAGAAGAAGATTTTTAAAGATTGCATTAATTTTAGTGGTTTTTGCCCCACCCCTCAGGCCCCAGGGGGGCAAGAGCCATGGATTTCACAATTTTTACTCCTCTTCACCTATAGATGCTATATGCCAAAACTGGTTGAAATTGGTTCAGTGGTTTCAGAGAAGAAGCTAAAAATGTTCAAAAGTATACGACCGATTGACTACGAACGACAACAGATGAAAACATATATCAATAGGTCACCTGAGTGAGTCAGGTGACCTAAAAAAGGGAACTGTCACTTAACTATATCAAAACTTGATTGGTTATTGGATTAAATTTACCAGATTCTATAATTTTCAAAGTGAATTATAATTCATTGGAAAAGTTTAAAAAAAGGTTTTTTAAAATTTTAATAGTCAGATCTTACCCTTGGAGTATTCCTTACAAAATAAGGAATAAGCAGTTGGCCTTACTGCTGGGAGTGTCTTCCTTTGAACCAATTTACCATGTCCACTTTTGGATTTGTGGTAATTTCCCAACCAATTCTGAAATAAAGTATATATATATATATATATATATATATATATACATGTGTGTATATATATATATATATATATATATATATATATATATATATATATATATATATATATATATATATATATATATATATGAAAAAATAAAACACCACAATCAAGCATTTAATATTAATATTATTAATACGTACTTCTGTTATTGTAAAAATATGGATTAACCTAGAGCTTTTGATCAAACTGAGGCAAATACATGGTACATGTACCAAGGTTTATTTATCTAAAAACAAATTTAAAGCATAAATGGATAAGGGAACTACCTTTACTTGAAGTTCTGTTAAATTTAATTTTGCTGCCAATTCCTGGTGAGCACCTAACCAGGCCTTTCCTTTCCTTGTGCCCTGTCCATAGGCCTCCTCCAGCATCCTCACTTGTTCTGGCGTAAATTCTGTTCTCTTTTGCTAAAACATTGAATGTTCGAACAAAACTAAATTTTCACTATACTCAGTTTTACAACAGAATTTGAGATAAAAATTGATCTTTCTGGGACATTAAATAGTGAGTATTTATCAAAGTGTACATGTAAAGAATTATTTAGATTAATCAACTACATAAATGTACATATACTTAAAAAATAAACACCCTCACTTTTGTACCTTTCATCATTGTTACTTTGGATACCCACAGGTACATTAATAATATAAAGAAGTCAATTGATGAGTACGCAATACACATGCCATAGGCGTAGGAACTGGTGGGGGGGGGGGGGGGAGGGGGCTAGGGGGGGCTTACTTTTTTTGCAAAGATATACATAATATAGGCATTGAAAATTGGGGCTTACCTTTTTTCGTTGGTTTAGCCCCCCACTTTCAATTAGCCACCCCACTTTTAATTTGCTTCCGACGCCTATGCATGCATATAAATCTATAAACATGATAAATGCATTCCTATACAGAGTATGGATATCTTTCTCATCATAAAAGGGGGTTTAATTGGTATGTGGTTGAAGAATTTCTGACAGGGGCTAGCAATTTAATTATTCAGGTCAATGGGAAGGAATTCCATGAATTTTCCCACTACAGCCCCCCCCCCTTTTTTTCAATAGACCTTGGGGGGGAGGGGGGGTCATGCCAAGCTCGCTGACACCCCTATTATTTTGTTGAAAAATGCGATAGAAAACACAACCATTATGTGTCATCTCAATAATTACATCCGAGAACTTTTTTACTTGGCAGTGCCTGGAGTCCAAACTGAAAATATTTGCCCACCCCCTCCCAATCTGAAATTGTTTCTATATATATATTCATTAAAACGGTACCACTTCTTCTAAACAGCTTGTGTATGAGATTACTTTTAGTTTATGTGAATATTCAATATAAAAATGTAAATTTATCATCATATTATTATGTATGTATAAATACTGAGTGTACAAAACTTTTTACAATGATTCTGAAAAATAATCCGCGACCCCCCCCCCCCCCTTTCCATTTTATTTTATCTACATTTTTCATAAGCAAACTGGTGTTTTACACTTACCTTTTCCATTTTAAGTCTTCAAATCAGTAAAGGATTGACAAAACTTGACTAAACTTCCTTGATTACTCTCTTCTTCTCTTCTTTTGTCTTTGTAAAGCGCACGTGCAATATAAAATGGCGAGTGACGGTGAGGCTGATCATCAACACCCGTCTTTAAATTATCACGTGACAAAATTTTACATCAGTCTGTTAAATATTTTATAATTTGCTAGGCTATTATATAGGCTAAATATGAAATAAATCAAAGTGTACACATGTGATGGTCAACAGCAGGAGCGGGCATCTGGCACTGATAACAAACATGACGGGGGGGGGGGGGGGGGTCTTATAGGTATGCAGCCGACACTGTATCATATATCATATTTAAAAAAACAACAACAAACAAACACATTTCAAATGTATTACTTAATAAATATATAAATTATCGTACTATTGTAACTTGATTTGTTCTTCTCAATAAAATTAATAAAAAAATAAAAGTTAAGAAAAGAAAAAAAACAACTTAGGTACTCTATTAGGAGAAGTGCAGTACGTGCTCAGCAAAATCGTTTTCAAAAGTCTCATATCCAGATATATTTGGCCTTATCATATTTATATATTTATTTATGCATTTTGTTACATAAAAAAAAAAATCATGAATATGAATAATACTTGTACGAATTAGTTTTTCCTCTGTTAAGACCAGAGACTTTCCGTATTGCGTCTGGTGTTACTGTTCTGAACGCTAACCCCAATAGTATGTGGTATAATGGTAATACCACAGACAGCATTGAGAGCTGTAACCCCGTTAACTTTTTTGTCGGTTCAGAGCTGTAACTCTGTTCGAATCAGGTGCACATTTATAAGTAATTGTCTTTCATCTTTAATAGGTCTCCAGTTCATATCATAAGCTGTTCTGGAGGAGTTGCGCGGAAACAGTCTCAGTTTAAAATCAGAAAATTGTCCGTAACTTGGAACCGAAAAGGAATTTTACCAAACTTTTTGCAAAATTAACAATTCCATGTAATAGCGCATTATTCCTGAAAGTTTGACGAAAAACCACCGAATAGTTTTTGAAATATCGCGTGCACAAATTTTTGTCTAAAAAATAAGAATAACTAGATGCATTTCTTGTTGCTAAGGCAACAAGTGGTCTTCCGACCGAACTCTTCTCCAGAACTCTATGCTATCTCACTTCATTTGATACTTTATTGAAGTTATTTTTCGTTTGCGTTTATGTAACACAGTCTTTTTCAACATAGATCATAATTATTAAAGGATTTCTGTAGAATCTCTGTTAACAAAGCTTTAAAAAATAAGCAAAAACTATCATACACGTCTTCACGGAGAAGAATATTATTTATCAACTGAAAAAAGAGAGAAACAATCTCCCGCTCCAGCAGGATTCGAACCCGCAACATACGAGAAAGTTTGGATCGGTCATATCTTTGCAATAAATGCATCAATCAAAATGATGAAAACATACATACAATTCTTAGAAGACTCTCTATTAACCCTGTAAATTTCCAAGAAAAATATTGAAAAACAAAAAGTTACAAATTTAACATTTTTCAATTCACTTTCGTTCGCGACCGGAAGTACGAACGACGAAAAATAAAGGTCGTTCACCATATCTCCATTTGATGTTCTATCACGTCAGTGAATTTCAATTTCATATCTTTAGCCGTTATCGAGAAAATTAACGGACAAAATTCAATTTAAAAAATACAATTTTCCCCAAAAATCGCGAACGGAAGTGAATTTCAAAAAAGTGAGGGACACCCCTGGAGATATATTCATGATGCATCTTCCCTGAAAAAAATCTTTTAAATTGAACCACGCATAGCTGAGATATGGGCTGTACTATGAAAAAAGAATAATAATAATAACTAGATGCGTTTCTTGTTGCTAGGGCAACAAGTGGTCTTCCGACCTAACTTTTCTCCAGATCACTGTGCTACCTCACTTCATTTAATACTTTATTGAAGGCATTTTTTTGTTTGCGTTTATGTAACACAGCCTTTCAACATAGATCATGATTATTAAAGGATTTCTGTAGAATCTCTGTTAAAAAAGCTTTAAAAAATAAGCAAAAACTATCATACACGTCTTCACAGAGAAAAATATCATTTACAACTGAAAAAAGAGAGAAACAATCTCCCGCCCCAGCAGGATTCGAACCCGCAACAATACGAGAAAGTTTGGATCGGTCATATCTTTGCAATAAATGCATCAATCAAAATGATAAAAACATACTTAGAATTTTTAGAAGACTCTCTATTAACCCTGTAAATCCCAAAGAAAAATATTGAAAAACAAAAAAGTTACAAATTTAACATTTTTGAATTCACTTCCGTTTGCGACCGGAAGTACGAACGACGGAAAATAATGGTCGACCAACATATCTACATTTTATGCTCTATCACCTCAGCAAGTTTCATATTCATATCTTATCATATATATCGAAAGACCTTAATAATAACTAGTAAACTAATTGTTCAGAGAACAATTAGAGGCCTTTCCACCTTTTTAAGTGTTTTCGTGTCATTTAGGCTGAAAAAAAGAAAAATGCCAAAAAAAAAGAAGCAAAAAAAAAAAAAAAAAAAAAAAAAAAAAAAATCAAAAAAAAAAAAAAAAATCCTCCTCCAGGTGGGATCGAACTCAAAACCCGTGGTTTGAAAGGCAGGTGCGCTAACCACTGCGCTACACATTCCGATAAATTTGGGTAAGTTAATTGTTTAAGACTATAGAATAAATACAAGCGTATTTTTAGAAACGGTAGGGGAAGAAAGAAGTTCCGTAAAAGGAAATAGTTCCTGAACTTGCAAGCAGTATATAAAATAGCAAGGGACGGGCTGCGTGAAAAAACGTTAACACTGTTCCCTAATGAAAATGTATTAATGGACTGTAGCCCGATTCATCGATATTGTGAGCATGCTGAATTTTTTGAAAATAGCTTTGTTGTAAGCTTAAAAGATCGGGTTCGTATTTTAACATTTCTGACTGAATATCCTGAAATAAATATGAAACATTTAAATAAGCATTTCTTTGGGTTAAATTAAATATGTGTAGCACAAATTAAACTCCCAACATGCATTTTTAGAAGGGAAGCACGACAATGAAAGCGAGAATTGTTTTTAATATACCGAAAATCGCTATTTCTGGAAACTGATTAATTCTAAATAAAAATCAAATAAATTCCAAATGTAAAAGAAAGAGAGAATGCTTGGTATTAAAATGTCGTATCATATCAGGAAAATCGAATGCTACTAACGACATCTGAAGAAATAGCCGATAAAAGGTTTAGATCATTTCTTCGTTCACCTGCACTTTAATTTCAAACACAACAGAACTTGTAGTATTTGCCGTGAAACTTCATGACTTCTATAAACTTATAAGACTCACCGTAAAACTCCCAAGAAAGTTTCTCTGAGGTCTATACTACATTTGTACCAAATATGGTGTCGATCCGAGGTCTGGTTTGAATTTTACAGAAATATTCTACGTTGTTGTTATGATTTTTTTTAAGAAGGGGGGGGGATGAATTGTTTATTTTATGCCTCTTTCAAACTAAGAATTGTAACTGCTTTCACATCTTTAAGCCTGATTGTGACCTTTGGGTCAAGGTCAAAGGTCAAGGTCAAAGGTCTTTAAAAAAACCAAAAAAAAAAAAAACCAAAAAAAAAAAAAAAAAAAACAAGGAAATCTTTACTTTCTATGTTTTTACCTGATACTGGAGCTGGATGCATGTCCTTACTTTTCATTTGACCCAATGTCAAGGCCAAAGGTCTAGGTCAAAGTTCAAGGTCATTTGGTGAATTGCTATATTTTACACATATATAAGGAATTTCTTATGTTTTTGAATGACTTTGACCTTGACCTATATTTCAAGGTCAAAGTCAAATATGCCGATGCAGTTGGTCCCATGTTTCTAGGATACACCGTTTTAAAAAAAAGTTCATTAAATGTAAGCAGCATAAACTTTCAGGGGCAATAACTCATACAAGGGACGAAAGAATGCTTTTGCAATGATAGAATGAAGAGAGTATTAAATGAGTCAAAGACACTGATGAAGGTTCGGAATCTCTGCGTTTTATGGTTTCGGAGGAGTAGCGATAACAAGGTTTTATTGCAAAAGGGGTGACAACTTTTGAATGGGTCAGGCTTTGGGGACAAGAATGAAATTACTTAAAATAGTTTTAGAAGGATATATTATAGATGCAAAGATATTCAGTATATGTCGAAAGGTTTTCGAAAGAATCTCTGACAAAAAAAAGCTTTTAAAAATCAGCAAAAAAACTACCATACATGTTTTTAAAGGAAAGAAGTCATTAGCAACTGAAAAAAGAGAGAAACAAAGAAAAAAAATTAACTGCCTCCAGCGGGATTCGAACCCCAGACAGTGCGACCGGAAGTGCCGACGACGAAAAAATAAAGGTCGTTCCCCATATTGGAATTTGATGTTCTATTTATTCATTGAGTTTCAATTTCATATCTTTAGCCGTTCTCGAGAAAAATTCTGGACAAAATGCCATTTAAAAAATACAAATTTCCCAAAAAATCGCGAACGGAAGTTAATTTTGAAAAAATGAAAAACACGTCTGGAGATATTTACATGATGCATCTTCCGGGAAAAAATCTCAAATCTGCGCACTCACAGCTGAGATATCGCCATAACTATGAAAAAAAGAATAATAATAATAATAATAATAATAGAAAACAGACGGAAAACAATAAGGTCTTCCGAAGGAAGTCGAAAGACCTTAATAATAATAATAGAAAACAGAAGGAAAACAATAAGGTCTTCCGAAGGAAGTCGGAAGACCTTAATAATAATAAGAAACAGTAGAATCACTAAAAGGTCTTCCGTTAAGACGGAAGACCTTAAATATTAGTTAGAAAGGAGAGAGAGAGATAGATTATACCTCTTTTTCGTTTGAATGTTTATGAAAATTTTGTGTTGTCGCTCTGTTTAATCACCTTCTAAAAGAGACAGACACGTTCAAATGAAAACGTTATGTTGATTTATGTTAATATAAATTTAATGTTGATACTGTGGAAAATAATCTTGCCGATGTTACAAAGACATTACAAAGGGGTAGAATAGTTATCCTTTAATTGAATTTACCTAGTTAGAAATTTTTAAACATGTTACTTTGTCTTTTAATAATATTTGAATAAAATTGATTCCATACTGACAATTATTCGTTACCAGTAAAATTTCTGTACAAGATTTAAAATTGAAAATATATATGATATGCTATGCTATGATATCTTTATTCTAAATCATATGTCAGTTTTAAATATTTTTAATATTTAATATTCCAAAAATCAAATTGAAATTGAATTACCATACCTACATTGGATTCCTAAACTACATAAAAATCCTTACAGTAAATTTTCTACCAAGCCTCTTTCTTTACCCCTCAATAAAATATTAACAGTAGTCAAGGAGAAACTTCAGGAGTATTGTACAGCAATATATTCGAGAAGTGGTATAAAATCAGATGTGGATACTGAAAACCGTGAAGGAACCTTCAGAAAATTTGAAATTACAAAATGTTACCAAATTCAAAAGTATCAGAACGTACTATTTTTCAACACTTTATACAACCATTCCCCACGATAAACTAAAGTCCAGGCTTTTTAACATCATAATAGACAGCTGCTTTTTCAATAAAAATGAAACTCGTACATTTACTTTCCTTGTCATTGGTCATTTGCAAAATTATTTTGTTAAAAAAAATTCTGATGAAAACACAAGTACTCCGAAGTTGATATTAAAAAGATGCCTGAGTTTCTGACTGACAATATCTATGTAGTTTTTGGAGATCAAGTCTTTCAACAATCTGTCGGAATTTCTGTGGGTACTTATTGTGCCCCGTTATTAGCAGACCTATTTTTGTATCCTTATAAAGCAGAATACTATTTAAAAACTACTACATGAAAAGAAATCTCTTGCTGTGTATGATTGTATGTTGTTTCACGTTCCATTCAAGAATTTTTCACTCATATAGAGACGTCACCATATACCGGTGAAGGGCTTCAAATTTAAACCTCGGTACTCAGGCCCATTGAGTTGTGAGGCATCTTTATCGTGACAACGCCTACCATGGCACGGGAAATCGGTTTTTAAGGTCTCATCCGAAAGATCGGTGACTTTCACTTCTATTGCCGAGCGCTTGGCGAAGGAACAGTCACTACCTATGTTTACGTCTTAGGTTTGACGCTGCGCGGCGAACGAGAATCGAACCCGGGCCTTCCGATCACGAAGCGAGCGCCCTACCACTAGGTTCTCGTGACCGGCTTTTGATTCGATATACCTTTGAACTCGAAGTAAAAGATACCACAGAGTTTGATACATCTGTTCCATATTTGGATATTTTACTAGAAAAAGAGGTAAATGGTAACTTAACAACAACACTTTACGATAAATGTGATGATTTCAACTGTTCTATCGTCAACTTTCCTTTTTTATGTAGCAATATACCACTATCATATGCATGTGTCTCCTAGTTGATTCGATACGCAAGAGCATACCCTACTTATGAACAATTTCTAAAACGAGGCAAACAATTGACAAATAAGTTGATGAAACAAGAATATTAACAGTCTCGTTTAAAGTCAACATTTGGCAAGGTCTATCTCCGATACAATGACCTTATCAGCAGATACAATCTACCATAAGGTCGAATATTTACATTTTTCATACAAATTGTTAGGTTATTATTTTAACACTGAAATGCTAAGAATTTTTCCGTTTGCCCGATCATGACAAGGAGCTCATGGCGGATGTAACCGGTTGACAGGGGATGCTTACTCCTCCATGGCACCTGATCCCACTTCAGATGTTTTTAGAGATTAGTGTTTGCTTTGCTCAAAATTTGTATTGTTTCAATAGAATTTTGAGCTTGATTACTGTTCGCTATCCTCATATTTCATATTTCATGATATCTAAATTGTGTGATTTTATAATTGCTTTATCCAACGAGTTGAAATGGTAAATATTCGCGAGGTTTGCCGTGCTTACAAACACCATATAAAATCACACAAAAATAGATGTTCTATATATCAAATACGATTTTAGTTTTTTTTTTTTTTTTTTTTTTTTTTTTTTTTTTTTTTTTTTTTTTTTTAACTTTGAAATAACCCCTGTACGATTATGTTGATTAACTTCTGCCCAAATCGATGCCGCGTAAATTGATGACGTCGCCCTGTTGAGGATGACATGCCGAAGGAAAGTTAAATACAAAATATGAAATCTTGGAGTGATATCTGTTGCGTCTTTTAAATCTGTTAGAAAATTATTTCATGCTGATTTTGACTGGAAGTCATACATTGTAAAACTAGCCCACAAGAATAAGGACCGAGGAATCAGGAATCCTTCTCTGATTCTGTGTATGGCGATGGTGGTACTCAGTATTTGTATATCTATGGTAACTCATTTGCTTATAGTATAATATAAGAAAGCATTGTTGAAAGTGGCTAGGCTTTCCTGCATGGTTAAAGGAATTTCGCACCTACAACTTCTAAAGTATTAGGCCTAATATTAACTATTAGAACGATTTTTTGGGGTTGTGAGGGTGGTGATAACATCCTTCATAGCAGTAGCCAGTACGATACATTGATAAGATTTGACATTTCATTGAGTATAATGAATCTATTCTTGTTTTTAACGAACATTTTACTCATTTGTTTTATTTTATTAGGCAAGAATTTTCACAAATAGAAGTTTGGATACATTTACATCTTGAAGCAAGAGATTGTAACAAAACCAGAAGAGCTATTGATAAAGCATACCCCTGGATGAAGCATAGGTTTATCTAATGGGTAGTATACATCACACAAAGGAGATAAATTTAATAATATCAATACTTACGAAAATAGTACAAAGAAGAGTCATAATGTAAAAGAGTTCCAAAGTTGTCATATTTCTCGTCCTTTAAAAGCTGTCGGTTAATGAAAAAGTATGGTTATTATCCCGTATGCTTATACATGTATATTTTTTTCCTGCATGTGCACTTTATATCACATCACACTTCTAACATTTTTTGTATAATTAACAAGAGTAAAATTATTTTAAACTTGTCATTTGCAAAATGACATACAAGACAAATTAAATTATGGAACATCATGAATCTAAGTAGAATTAAATTTAGGGGTGAAGCAAAAGTAATGTCAAAAACATATCATAAAATGGCATTAACTTTAACAGCAATTTTAAAATGTATTAAGTATTTTTTATAAAATTTAAATTTCATATACAGTGGAGCCTCACAATCCAGATAATAACCATCCGGACTCTTTTACTTCCGGACGAAATTAGTCAGAAAGATTTTAACTTTTTATATTTTATATTTACAAAGTATGTTTCAGTAATCCAGACGCTTCATTAATCTGGGCAATTTTATCGGATACACATGCCTCCCAATGAATAATGTTCGACTGTTAAAATATTTAAATGCTTACAAGGTTACGTCATATACATCGTCAAATCACATTGTCATTAATGATTCTTTCATGAGAGACTGTCTCGAAATCATAGCCAATAGACCTCAATCGCTTAAAATATATTTGAGACTTATTATAATTATTTACCATACAGTAGCCTTACAGTTTATCCTACATTCCACTAACATACGATTTTAAAAACAGACAAAGTCTTAAAATTGTACATAATCTCTTCCAAGATATTGTTTAAGTCGATTAAATATTGAAAAATGTGACCCAGTTTTGATTTTACAGTATCTACATAGAATAATTAATTGCAAGTCAAAACGCTTCTCGTATATATTTTGAAGACGTCATTTTAATTATTGGTAAATGTACTTATTCAAATATTTTCATGAATACTAATTATAAGCTTGGTAATGTCAATCTTTGCTTCGTAATGACATTGTTGATTTCTGACCTAACGTACCTGATTTTAACATATTTATGATTTCAAGCATGTTTTTTCTGATGTCTTATATAATATTTCTGATATCTTACATGTATATATATATATATATATATATATATATATATATATATATATATATAAAGCACTAAAAACCAACAACACTGTATATCCTAAGTGTCGGATCTACTAAGTAGATAAAAGGTCACGGAAGGAAATGTATATACCATTATACCATTAGGACCAAAAAACTCAATGAACCCGTTGGGGATCTTTTCAACCTTGAAGGTCACAAATGGAGGACATGACAGTAGTGGTTATTGACCATAATCCAAGATGGACAGACGCGCAGAGAAAAGGCAAGGAAAAGTTCTGGATGCACAGGCTGAAGTCATTCCGCCCTAATGGTATTAACAAACTTAATGACTTCACCAGGATGAACGTGAACTAGACCCAATCCCGGATTGTAACAAACAAGTTCATTCTCTCTGTTTAGTGTAAACTTTACCGTTAATTCGTATTAGCAATCCTGGAACAACCTACCCAAATATTTACAACTTACATTTTTGTTTATTTCTTTTTTCCGATTTCCAAATTTATAATATATCCAAATTCATATTTCAAAATTGTCCTCCCATATTATCTTTCTTGAATTTCTTTTTATCATGTAGAGTTACGCCATTTTGAGAGAATAAGACAATGTACGATTTACTGTCGGTGGTAATTAATTAGCGATAATTAATTCGTTCAATTATGTAAATCACACTTCACCAGAGTACACCCGATAGACCGGACGCAATTCATAGCGCTCCGGATTTCTTTGTTCACAACTGTTTATAAACCAAATTAAACATGTAATATTGTAAATATTTAGTGTTTGGTAGTTTAGTAGTAGTGCTAGTTGTTTTTGCTTCTCTATTTCCTTTGTTTTTATGACTTCTTAACTTTTTCCGTTGTCCTGAGGAAGGGACAGGTCGTCCCGAAAATTTGACAATTATTATTGTTCGTGTCGTTGGTCATTTTTAGTGCTTTATATATATATATATATATATATATATATATATATATATATATATATATATATATATATATATATATATATATATATATATATATACATGTCTTACATGATATATCTGATGTCTTTCTTGAAATTTCTAATGTTTTACATGGTATGCCTAATGTCTGGCATGATAGTTTTGATGTTTTACATGATACTTCTGATGTCTTTCATGACATTTTCGATGTCGTACATGATATGCCTGATGTAAGTCATCATTTGCCTGATGTCTTACATGATATGCCTGATGTCTTACATGATATTACTGACGCCTAACATAATATGTCAGATGTCTTAAATGACATTTCTGCTGTCTGATATAATATTTCTGAGTTCTTGGTAATATTTATGATTTTTTGCATGACATTACTGATGTCTTACATTACACATGTATATTTCTGATTTGAACATAGATGACAAAATTGATATTTTTGAAGCCGTACATAATATTTCTGATGATTAACTTAGTTGTGATGTTCTACATGATATTTCTGATATTCTACATGATATTTCTGATGTCATTGTATTTCTAATTTATCATTTCTAGTGACTTAAATGATATTTCTGATATATGATATATCTAATGTCTCATATTATACTTCGTATTTGATATTTCTGAGGTTCTATATTTCCGTTGTCCAGCATGATATTTTCTGATGTCCAACATGATATTTCTGATGTCCAACATTATATTTCTGATTTTGAGATGATATTTCCGATGTCTGAAACGATTTTCTAATGTATTTCATGATAATTATGATTCTTTGCACTACGTATTGATTTACTACATGACATCACTGGTTTCTAATGTGGCACCATTGATTTTTCAGAAAACACTACCGATTCCTCATGTGTTTGTGCTGATTTTCTACCTCTCAATACTCATTACTGATTTTCTACATAACAAAACTTTAACGCTATTATATATATATATATATATATATATATATATATATATATATATATATATATATATATATATATATATATATATATATATATATATATATATATATATATATATATATATATATACATATATATATATAACAGTTCTATTGTTTTACATGAATGACTGATTTCACATGGTTTACGGATTTTCATATGAATTACTTTTACTAGCATGATATTCTGATTTTTAAATGGTATTTCTGAGTAAGTAAATGAGGACTATAATCTATTAAATCATAGTTCTGTTTTCTATCATGATTACTGATTCTTTAATGACATTACTTATTTCATGTATGATAGTACCGATATCAAACATGACATTACTGATTTCATAAATAACTTTTCTGAATTCGAACATGTACCTATTTCTTTACTAATATTAAATATTTATTATTGCCATAAATTAATTCTGACATAACATCACAGATTTCTTTCATGATATTAATTATTTCTTAAATGAAATATCTGATTCTGCATCGGAAAAATAGACAGTATATTTCTTAAATGACATCGCTGATTTTCTACATAATTTATGTAAAACTTTACTGATTTCTGACCAGACATTGCTTGTTTGTTGTGTGGGCATTACTTATTTCTTATGTGATTTGGTTCATTTCATACATGACTTTCTCCTACGACTTCATCCTCAATTGATGCAATAGACGTTCTCCTTCATATTTTTAACTTGACATTTAGCACTAGCACAACTGCCTAACGTGTTTTATTTTTATACAAAATCATTTTAACTAGAATGGTAAACTTTTTGTATCCATACTGGAATGGATTACAATCTATAACCAGTAGAAACTATTCAATCATACTTACACTGAACTGTCAGTACCCAGGGGGTATTCATAGAGAGAGAGAGAGAGAGCTATTTTCAAATTTTATTTTAAGGTATGTCACTCGTCAGCCTTTTAGAAAAGTTCAGTCAGAACCTCTTACTTAAAAACTATTTAATACAATTCAATCTTTATAACATATTTAATTTAAACAATGTAAGATGTTCAACATTCAATTAAAAAACTGCTCAAAAATTCATAAAGAAGTAAGATTTATAAGGGACAATTTCTTGTGGTGGAAGGATATTTAGCAGAAAATTCTGCAAATCTACACATATATTGAATTAAATATCTGGGAATTTTAGCCTCACATACTTTTACTCAGAGAATATTTTCCGTTATGATATGCCTGGAATATTAAATATAGGTCTCAATTTATATTTTTATGACAAAATTTACACCTTCGCTCAACAAACTTTGCCAAGAAATGAAGATATATTAAAAAAGATAAGATAAAATTTACACAGTTTTTTGCCAGAAAATCGCATATTTTGACCAATATTTCAAAATTTACATCACTGACCCTAACTTTTTCTTTCATTATTTTAAACTACTCGATACTTTTGACCGATCAGCACTTAAGAGTCAGTCTCTGTAAGCATCAAAATGGGCTGGAAATAGACTTTCACCAATTTTGTTTAAACTTGGTGACATAATTACACTATAAGCCCATTTAAAAAAAAATAATTTTGCAAATGATCAATTTGCATTGTTTCCATGGCAACAGGTCACCTATTTTTGCACATATGTGGGAAATAACAACAAATGTCATTTCACCCCATTAATATTTATTTGATGAATTTCGATGACTTTTATTAATTTTTATCTTTAAAGCTATTTGTGAATCGTATTTTCTTAACAAGAAAACTGCTAAAAAAAATTTTGACCTGCCAAGAAATGCAAAGTAATGTCAAAAAATGCTATTCAAAAGGTGGGGAAAACATAACAGTGTAGCCAAAAAACGCAGGCACTGGTGGAATATTTTGATGCTCCTAATTTTACCCTAAACAATCATTAAGAACATATCAAAAAATTGGAGTGGTAATATTTGATTTAAGAAAATAAATCAATTGTAAACTTTGTAAAAATCTCTGAAATTACATACTTTTTCACCAAGAGTTGTTTCCCTTTTCGGAAATCTTCAGCCAAATTTCAAGAAAATGAAAGTGAAAGTAGAGAGCAGAACATGATTTTGTCTGTTTGGATATTTTCAGTCATTTTAAACCCACTTTGTA